TTGAATCTGACGTTGCCACCAAAATGAAGCCTACAAAGAGGAGGTCAGCCCAAAACCTAGCTCCACATAGTTTGTAAGGACACTAATGTAGATCTCTAGTCTTCGGTTTTCATCGATGTAGAGGGAAACTGATAGAGCTACTCAGACCACCACAGCTGATCTTCGCGGCTGTGTGAGACATCTTCCCAGTCACATCAAGTAGAAGTAACTTTCTAGCTGAACGCATTCGCCCCCTACTCGTCCTAATTTTTGCGACAGCACCTATCATTTCTCGGTAAAAGCCTTGTTTCGAAATGTGTAACTATGCCAGTGCTAAGGATTTCCTCGTAAAGAAGGAATGTTCCATGAAAGAACTACTCTAGACCGAATTTGTTGCCACAATCCCCGTCAACTTGTTTGTCTGAACGCACCCATACGTTGCATCTTGGCCTTTCTAAGCGTCTCGGACTGCCTCATATGCTGTAAGCTTCTGTGGGTCGTGTTTCGTTTAATCCTCCCAGAAATTTGCTGAAATGCGCTCCGACCAACGCCCAACCTCGGACACCTTCCTGATTGGACTGCAGAATGATGAGCGTGACCAGACATTCGCGCCGGTGTGGAGCAGAGAAGTGGAGGAGGCGTGGGGGGGAGGTCTTGAGCGCAGGGACTGGTGGTTAAACATCGTTTGGGCAGTGGTCGTCCCCTACGTGACTACTCTCTCCTCCCCCCTCCCCCCCCACCCTCAATCGGGTGATTTGGCGCTGCAATTGGCTTAATTTTTGAGTCATTGCCACTTGTGCCAACGAGCGAGCAGGTGTGGCTTAGCGCAAACGGTTTCGCGCTAGCGCGCCAGCGAAAGACTGTCAGGCAGCAGTCATTGCAATCCCAGTCAGGTGTGATCATGTTTCGGAAGCCGCTCAAACATAGATCGAGGAAGAGTACGGTGGAAGGAAATTCACCGGTTAAAATTCTGCGGTCAGCGTTTGCCATTGACAGTCTCATCTCCAATAAAGAAGAGACGACCGTCTCTGAGAAACTTCACGATTCCAAGATGTGCAGTTCCGCTCACGCAGTTGAGGCGCCAAGTGGACCAGAATGCATTTGTTCGCCAGCCGCGGAGATTGCCTCCGAATTCTTCGGTAAGCTCGGGGCAAAAGCCTGAACTTTGCCACTAGGGTAATTATTAAAAGTCCAATGAATGTTTTCCGACCTGATGGCTGAATGGATAACGGCATTACTTTGCGTGATAGAATAGACTTCTCAAGCCCAAACATTTGAGAAATGGTACACTCCACCAGTTGGCCGTATAATATTGTTGGACAAATGACGGTTCCTCTAGCAGTTTGTGGCAAGGATTGTAATATTTTAACGCTGTAAAGCCCAGTCTGCTCAAGCAGGCCCAATTCGTGCCAAGATTGGACGTGCCAAAGGTAGTCTGAGGGGACAGGGAAACTACTGCCTCTACCTCCATAAGACATACAGTTTTGTCAGTAATTTAAACTTCTGACGCCATAATGCATCTACAAAACGGACGATGTGGTAGAAATTAAACAGCGAGTCTCGCCAACTAATTGGCCGCCCTTTTCCTCGTACGTGATGCGGAGGCAGCTGAAAGAGAATAAAGCAATCGATTTGCATGCATTTTTTATTTAAAAGGTTTAGAAGAATATCATCGTATCGGAATCAGTGATATCAAGATGAGACTTGGAAAGTTGTCATTTAGGTGGCAGGTAAATCAGAGCACTTAAGGCTGTGTTACTGAGTGAGAATTTAAGTTTTTCAGGGAGTTTCGGGACGCCAAAACTAGAAAAATTGAGAATGTAACGAGTAATAAAGGAAGTTTATTTAAGTCAGTCTAAGAACGTTTATTAAGGGAATGGGTTTTCGCCCTTAAGATCTCTATTTATATCAATAAACAGCAATTTAATTAATTGTTGCACGAGTAAATCTGAAAGTTTGAAAGTTAACGGTAAGTGTGAGTCGGGCGCAAACTGCCGCCACTAACACAATCATGATTATATATACGGTAATCTTCTTGAAAATGAGCGTGTGGTCTGCACTTCAAGGATTCAACAGTTTAGGAAAAACCACCATATCAGGGGGTCCGTTCCATGCTCCAATGACCCTCTGCGAGAAGACTTTCGGTCGGACGTCCGTATGGGCCAGCTTCCTCTGCAGTTTGAAGGGATGACCACGCACACTGTCCACCTCAGCCAATTCGAAGAATTCATCAAAGTCTCTGACAATCCGGTGGGTTTGAATGAGGTCGCCGCGTAGTTGCCTGTAATTGAGAGGTAGCAAATGTAGTTCAGCTAGTCTGGTTTCGTCCGCCAGTTGATCACGATACTTGAATATCTTCGTAGTCATTGTCTGTACTTTTTCCAGGGATTGATAACCCTTCTTGAACCACGGTCGCCAGACCTGAAGTGCATATTCTAAGTGAGACCGAACGAATGTCCCGTAGTTTTCCGACCAACTCCTTATTGATCTGCACAAGGAGCTGTTTGGAAAAACCTACGGGTCATTCGTTCGGTCCCACTTAGAGTATGCAGTCCAGGTCTGGCGACCGTGGTTTAAGAAGGATCACTAACAGCTGGAAAGAGTACAGACGAGGACTGCGAAGATGGTCAAGAATCTTGATCTTCCTGATCCTATTTTCATGTTGAAGAAAGCACCGACAAAGATAAGGACACAGGGATGGCCATTTCTAGCTTATTACTCATCATTGATTGGCCTTGTGTGCGTTGGGTTAATTGACGCTCAATGACCACAGAACAGGTGTTTGAGGCTCCGGTGCGGAAAAACCCGGTTTTGGGCAAAGCCGGCTAACAACGGCTAATAAGTCAGAAATGGACAACCTGGTATCCTGTGCCTTGGCCAGAACTTCGCTAGCATACATGTCTGGCCGCTATGATGCTGCCTGTGAGGACTATATTTTGGGCCTCAAGGCATAACCCGACTTGTACGCCCGTGAGACCGATCGGTGAATGCACTTCTGTACAGGAAAAATATATGCATTCATCTGAACCAGCTGTGAAAAGTCAGCGACCTCGGTGGGCTTCGAATCCAAAAGGGTAAGGGCAAGAATTAAGGCCAGCCAACACTTTAACCATCTGAGTTACGAAGCCCCACCGGGTGCCGTGAGTTTAATCACATATGAATATATATGCAGAATAGCATTACCAACAACGACAAGGCAGACCGGAATTTTGGAATATCAGCCGTCGTTAGCTAGTCATATTCAACCCCGAAGTGTGGAACACCTGAGGCCGACCCCGCGTCCTTTGGTAGAAGTCCAACGCCTCTAAAATCTGAGCCATGGGTTCGTTGTCCTGTCGGTTGTGATCGGGAATATACAATGGTAGAGAGGAGATCACTGACCGTGTTACGGAACTCACTCGTCTCGTTTTGACTTGGGGCTCCCTCTCGAGTCTAACCAGCAGTCTATTGTACGCGCCGCTGTGCGGCTGCTGGCGGGGCTCGAGAGAAAGCCCCAAGGCACGACGAGACGAGTGAGTTCCATGGCGCGCCCGATGAGCTCCCTCCATTATACATGTATTATATGTATGTATATATGCTGATAGTGGGGTACCGACAGAGACTAGGGAAATCGTGATGACGTTGCCGGCATACTAGACGTCGCCAGCCAGCCATACACGGCTGCAGGTTTGGGAAGCCTGACATTTGAATTCGCCTTCTTTGGTCACTGAGCGTTATTAAGTCCGACGCTCTGCCGCTGATCCACTGGGCAGTTGTCTTGTTAGTTGTGATCGAGAATATTACCTATGGTAAAGGGGTACTATCGGATTAGATTACGGACCATGCTTCTTTTCTTTCGGTTTCCGTTATCTTTGTCGGCACCCCGATGTCAGGAGTACGGTATAATAGTTCGATATATACATATATCGAGCGTATTATACTATACTCCCAACATAGGTACTAACTAAAAGCCCAAACACGTGTTTCACCGATATTCTGCCACTGAGTGACACAGCTGCAAGGGGTTCGGCTCTTCAGTGGGACCCTCAGCGTTCTTTATGCGGTTTCTGGTATATGAAATCCAGAGGATACTCAAGTGAATAATTTCTGAAAGTTGAAGCTTCGGACAGCAGTCGTCTTAGTATCTTCGTCTTCTATTCAAACGTACAGAGCTCGCGAACTTTCCATTATATATAATGCTAGGTGGACGCTCACCAATCGTGTTAAGTGACCTACTCGTCCTGTTACCCTACCTCAATTACACACCGCTATTCGGCTGTTGGCGGGACACGAGATTGAGCCCCAAATCACAATAGGAAGAATGTATCGCGTAGCGCAATCAGTGAGCGCACCTTCGTTGTTGTATATACCCGATCGCAACCGATGGAACCCCGAACCCGTGACTCAGTGGTTAGGGCGTTGAACTTTTAACCAACAGGTCGCTGGAGCGAACCTCAGGCGTTGCACGGACTCGTGGTTGGGTACGGCTAAATGATGGCGGATATTAAGCCAAAATGGTCATTCCGGTTTCCCTTGTATTCTTCAGTAATGTTATTCTGCATATGCATATGTATCATGGGGAGTGACGCTCACCGACTGCGGCACAGGACATGCTCATTCACTTATGTTTTGAAGCTCGATATAAAGCCCTGCTGGCAGTCGCATAGCGGCTAGTACTGTATGCGACGCTTACTGGTCGAAGGTTGGACACAGTTACCAAAGATCCCGAGTTCGAATCCAAGGTTCCCCAAACACGGGGTTTGGCATGGCTGTTTGATGAGGCCGTAAGCCAGAAACGGACACTCCAGCATCCCTGTCTTTGTGAGTGATCTCCTCCTGCATTCCTAAAGTGCATATGGATTTTCTGAGCTGACTACAAAATTCCATGTCGTATGCACTTAGCAGTAAGTCCTGCCCCTTATAATGTCTGAAATTATCGTTTTGATATTCATCTGGAGTTCGCATATCAGAAACCAGCAACGGGGACGTTGAGAGACTCCCGGAGGAGTCGGATGCTTGACAGTTGCGTCAGACAGCAGCAGAAATATTGTCGAAGCACGTGTCTTGGTTATGAAAAATGTATGTGCATATGCAGACTGAGATACCCGACAAAGACAAGAGAAACTGGAATGGCCATTTTCATCAGCCAACCATACCTGGCCACAGGTTCGGCGCACCTGGAATTCTAATTCGGAATTTTTCGGTCATTCAGTAGAACGCCCCAACAATCGAGTCACGGACTTGTTGTCCGGTCGGTAAAGATCGGGAATATTAACTATACTGGGAGGACATTCACTGGTCGGGTTACGTGATGCGCTCGTCCCGTCATTCGATGGTAGATTGTTAAAATCCATGGCCAAAGATCCCGGGTTCGAATCCCAAGTGATCAAGACTTGGGATTGGGTATGACTGTCTCCTGATGGCTAATAAGCCAGAAATGGCCATTCCGATCTCCCTTGTCTTTGTCGGTATCATCACATATATTTATTTATTTATCCATATTGACCCAACTGTGAAAAACTCGACGCCTCGGTGGGATTCGAACACACGCAGTAAGGGGAAGGCTTTAGTACAGCCAACGCTCCAGCCACTTGAGGTAAGAGGCCCCGCCGGAGACACGAATTCAATCACATTTCGGTCAAGTTACCCGCCGAACCTACTGCAGTGTCTGGATTACATCAAATCTGATACAGTAAGTTGACTGCCCAAGCAGGATTTCCTAAGTAATTAACCTAGAATTCACCAGACGACTACCAGGTTTACGTAATTCATAGATGTTTTGGCATATTTTGAATAATTCATATCGACCCAACTGTGAAAAACTCGGCGCCTCGGTGGGATTCGAATCCACGCAGTAAGTGGAAGGCTTTACTACAGCCAACGCTCTAACCACTTGAGCTATGAGGCCCCGCCGGACGACGCGAGTTTAATCCAGACGTTGCAGTAGGTTGGGCGGGTAACTTGACCCGAATGCGATCTAACTCGCTTCGGCCGGCGGGGCCTCTTACCTCAAGTGGCTGGAGCGTTGGCTGTACTAAAGCCTTCCTCTCACCGCATGGGTTCGTATCCCACCGAGGCGCCGAGTTTTCCACAGTTGGGTCAATATGAATTATTCAAAATTACCAAAACATACATATTTATGTTAAATAATGTCAGTCCTTTGAACCGCTAGCGCGTTAAATGGCTTTGGATGATATGGAGGCCGATGGCAGTTTTACAGCACAAAAGGAGGCGGCGACTTTCCCTAGACCGCCGGTGTGACTACCATGACCGTTGCGGATAAATGGCCCGGCCCATGTTCACTAGCCTGACGGATTGAGATGTCACGTAAAAACGGTGTCAAGCTACATCGTGAGGGTCAATTCGCTAGGGAGATGCATTAATTACCGTCTCGAAAATGAAAACGGTACGGAGCACTTAAACCGGCATGCGAAGTACAACGTCTGACCGTGGTTTTACTAGGGATTAGTCCCCAGGGCTGAATTTTGACGGAAACTTCCAAACACATCTCTTTTTCAAGAGGACCACACTCACGACGTTTCCTCTTTATCCCTGACTCCACTTACTCGATGAGTGTGATAAATGGCCCAACTAGTTCAGAGCCATTTTAAGCTCGTGCCACTTCACGGAATGCGGGAAGATGTGTTCTGTCTTGCAATCTCCAATCAGCTCGGGGTGACTCATTTTCGGCAGTTTACTGCTTTACGCAAAGTGGAAGCTGGCACTTGGTTTCAACAGGTTGCATCGATCCCCATTTATACCTTTTGTTTGATATTATTGATAGTTAGGGGCGAATAATAAAAAAGCCTTAAGGATTAACCGCCCCATATCTCGGCTCATCTGGCAGTTGAGTCAACTCTGAACTCGCATTCGTTGGCTCCCTTGAGTTTTAAAATTTTTGTGCGATAGAGGTACTGCGTCCCTTGAGCTTTGGGTGACAGCGTCGTCTGGTAAAGGTGAGTTTCAGGCAGGTTTAATCGGTAGTAGTATGATAACTTGTCCAGTATCCCTTCAGAGCTGTCTAAGAGCACGTTTTTTTAAATTTGAATCATGGCCTGCTCCACCTCACCAAAAGTGAGACTGCCTTGTTTGCATGCGGGCGGAAAATAAAAATGGATACCCGTAGATTCTTAACTTGAAGCCCGAAGGCTAAAGAATCGGTTTGTTTTGGTCGGATCGAACCTCTCAGACCTGCTTAAATTTCCTCTTGCAGATGCCAGTAATAAGGGTGGGAAAGCGGACAACCGAATTCAGAGATATTCCTACATGTTGACAGTGGATGCTAATCAGTGTGAATTTTGAGTAGTTTGCATCAACGAGTATTAGAGTTTCACAATTAAACTGTCGCTCGATCTAGGACAACCGGCTCCTCACCAGACGAACCGATCCGTCCTTACTTGCGCCTCATTTTCAATATGCTGTTTGATTCGCGGAATTCAAATTAATGCAAATTTTCGAGACGTCTCTCAAACTGTTAAAACCAATTCGCCCGGTTGTAACTTGGTTGTAGTCAGACTCACTTTCACCCATCGCACTCTCAAGAATTCTAAGTCATGTGCTGCAGTGTTAAGATGATCTTACAGCGTAAATACAGTGATTTTTTATTTTACAGTCCACTTTACCCCCACTGTCCCTGTTACACAGTGAACCCAGACAATCACTTAAACCTCCATTATATGACTCCTTCACTTCACTCAAGCCCAGGACTCTCAGAAGGAATAGGTGCAAATTTATGCAAATTTGAAATTTCTCTGAGTTTAAGATGGTGAATTGATTTAAACCGGGCAGCACCATTGCGCTTACTTAATTGGAATCCAGATTCCGGGGGGTAAACAAGTGTTGCATGTATGTGCACGTGTGCAGGTTGATTAGCTAACTTTTTGAAGTGACAGCAAAGCAGTTTCGTTGTATCCCCCCTCCGTCCCCTCCTGCCAGTCCCTACCTTTCTCCTCCGGCACTACAGCACGCTAACTGCTTTAATTATGGGGGAAGGAGGGATCGCGAGGTTTGCAAATTAACTACTAAATCGACGCTAGAATTGCTACTAGGCTGTCTGTTGGAGGGGGGGGGGGAGGACTGCTCTATTGAACAGCTCTACGGCAGATTGCACTCAACTGGTGCTGGTCAGCTTCACCCGTCGCTCGTAAGCTCTGTAGCAGCGGATAAGTGGCGTCGTTTTCTTTGGACTTGACCTTCTGAGGGAACTCACAAGTAGCTACCGGAATTGTCTATACCAATCGACTATTCTCTGGGCTAATCAACCCAGTTTCCGAAGGCTGAGAGAGTAGCCGAGTTGAGGTCATAATTCTGCAAATATCTAAACAGACATATCCAGGTAAAGAGGAAGGAATTAGGTTCTAGTTGCCAAGTACGTTCGCCACTCGTCCTCTTGAATCGGGGCTCAGGGTTAGAATTCCCGAGCAAGGGTTAAGTATAGGCGCGAGGTAGGGGAAAAGTATACAGAACTGCCTACTGTATTTTTCGAAGAAAGCGTTGTTCTGCAGAGCTTTTCATCGGCCCTTCGTTGGCAGGATGAGATTCGCTGACCTGTACCGCCCCGAGGAGTCGACGTTGCGGAAATGTCTATATTGACTCACTGTTCTGCACTTCCCGCACGAATGCCCACTTTTTTTAAAAGTTCGACACGGAGAACAGTCAGATAGTAGAACAATACTTGAAGTATTGTTAGATGGTAGGCATACGTCTGCCAGTAAAGCAGGAGTTTTAAAAGTTGGTGAATTTTTTAAACAACAGTTGCCATTTTCTTACACCGTGCATGTACTTAATCCTTGCCGAATCCCTCATCGACACGAACTCTTTTAGGACTTCATCAAAGATCTAAACGTTTAAAATGCCAGCTCTACAGCTGTCAAACCATGCTTTCTAACCTCAAGTTTGGGAGTTAAGATGTCGTAGCAGGAAAGTAAGTCCTGTGGGGGAGGAAACAGTATGCGATTAACTGATAATTAGTGCCAACAACAGAATAGCTTGTGCCGATACAAGTGAAGATGCGAGTTCCAGAAACTAGTTGAAACGGGACCCGTTTCTGCCACTGTCTCTGACGATGGGTTCAAGTGATAATCCGAAACGTCAGGCGAATAAAGTCCTTGTTCCGGCGGATCGCATCTTCTCCTTCTTATCAGAATAGATTTTTTGAGATTAATCATGTCAACGCTCTGCTTTCATTCCAATTTTAGGCATTTGAGGCGGTCGGATCATATTTCTTAGCCGTATCTGCAGCAGACAAGGGCCAGCTGCCTGACATACAGGACCAGTGATGATAGGTGTTTAACCATAACCCAACCCCTAACATTAGTACCTCAGCTCAACCCCTAACCTTAACCCTAACTCCTAACCGCTAACCCCAAACCCTACCTCTTAACCCCAACCCCTAACCCTAGCCCCTAGCTCCTAAGCCTAGCCCTAACAGGTACGGTCACGGAATAGGATCTTGCCTTTGAGGTTTAAAAGATCTGACGCATGTATACCACTGTCGCGATTACCCCAATGAAACTGATGGATTTTGGTTAAAATACGCACATCGACTTTCGCGGTGGGTCTAAAAAATTTCGTTGTGAAGGGCTTACTCCGAGTTAGCTCATTAATGTCTAGAGGGGGGAGGTCAAAAGGCTGAAATCTAACGTCGATCGTTAAGACGAGCCCAGTCCCTGCGCGACATTTCACACTGTTATACTAGTTGTTCACTTACCAAATCAAGGAGCACATATAAGGTCGCAGTTATTTAAAAAGCGGCAGATTTCTCACGGAACCACCTCAAAGGGCGGTGGTGGGTATCGGCTGCTTAGCGTAATATTTCCTGTAATAGCGGCAGTACACTTACAGCTCTAATTGTCAGCTGAGTCGGCGTTTAGTAAATGCGCCTGTGAGACGGTGGTTTGTTAATGCCCGTCGATCATGCACTATCCTGTGCTCCTCATCGTGGCCGGCCCTCAAGTCCGCCGTTCCTGTCGCGGGGTCCTAAGTGCGGTTGCGGGATTTGCGTCTTCCAGAGATCGGCCAGCCTGGATTAGACAATTACGTAAGACTTGGTTCGATTGCAAACTCTGACTCTTCTATAAAACAACCGCGACCTTCCATTCGCTTCTTGTCTTCGAAATCAGAAAGTAAACGCAGTTATGGCAACTATTTCAGGGCCTTCCATGCAATTTTTTCTTATCACCCTTCACCTGTCTCCTTTGCAGCAGACTCTGAGACGAGGGACCTCGAACCGGAAGTCAGCGCTCTCCCGTCGCGTGAGTTCCCCACATTTCTTAAGAAATTGTTTAAATGGTCTGGGTACTTGCTTAGAGAGCGAGGGAGGTGTCGCTGGAACTTGATAAGACTTTTACCGAAGAATCTCTAAGTTAAATGGCACACCAACTGAAGCACAAAACTGCTAACCTCGTTTAGTCCAGTCACTTATACGCGCCTTCGACGGACAGATATATTTTGATAAAGTTGCGATTTCGATCAATAAAGTTAATTTGTGACCGGTTCTTCTGCCACAAAAGGTTTGGCCCGAGACAAATTCTGTAGACTGCAAGAAGCAGAAATAGCTCCTTTGGAGGGATGGACTGTCTAGGATTAAAGACATCTTCCGCCAGCTGTTGCTAAGAATTTTAGAATTTCGCAGCGTTTAGAAGCTGTTTTTTGAAGTGAAAGCGAAATCTGTGTTGCGTTCTAATTGAGAAGAGCCCAAATAGCGAATGCACAGTAGCGAGTTCTACAAAAAAACACACATGAGCAGGCATGAACTTAAGCATGATGCAAAGAAAAGGCTTATCCGATAAACCAAGGATATTGAGACGAAGTTTAAGGCCTCTCATTTTCATTTAAGTACGAACGGTTTCTCCAAGTGTTTGTTCACTTCCGTGGACAATATTGGTGTGGCCCCTTGGTTTTCTTACTTTCTATGTTAAGGCCCAGTAAAATTATATTTGTCAATGTCTTATGGGAAATTGGACAGGTTTTAAGTCAATGTACACCTTGTTTACCCTTCTTTTGTCCAGAAAAATCTTGTTAAGGACTCCCCCGATCATGTTTTCTAGTGGGCATGCTACGCGTTTAAGTGAGTCAGACCAAGGCTTCCACATATTTGAAGGGGTTTTACAATCTCATTACAATGGGGTATAATTTAAAAAATAAGAGTAAGCTTCATGAAACTCTTAGACCCAAATACACAGTTCCAGTTTTTCTTTACGTAGTTTAGTTAATAGGTCTAGCCAAGACCGATTTTGGTAAACATACAAATGTATTACGTCTCTGCAAAAAGTACTCCGATTAAACATTTTGCGAGAACTTTGAATTACAGTTTTGGTTCTGTTAACTAAACTCAAAAAATATTCAAGTGGACTCCGAACATATGACTGTGACCCGGGTAGATTTTTAGTGATCTGAACCGAGGGGTAACGCTAAGTTCTTGCCGCGTAGATGGCTTTATTTCTTGATATCTTTTGGGTTGTGCGGACGGCAATTGCTATGACCCCGCGTTGCCTTCTTGTTTATATTCTACTGCATGGACAATACACAGCCGTTAATCACTCTGGGAAAAAAATTTACTTTCGTCCAGAAGCAGGTATCCAGGCCCGCACTTTCATCAAGTTATTTACTTTATTCAAGACCTTAGTCGCCTCTCAAGCATAAAGACGCCGCTTGTTTCCCTGTAGAGGCCTCCAGATCGGAGTCGTCGGCCCGGGCAGGGTTGCTTCCGGGGGGAGCGGATGAAGCATGGCCTATTCAGGCTGATGCCGTTATCGGAAAGATGTCAGCTACGTCCTGCTTGACTCTGCCCACTCAGGTTGGAAGCGTCGGCACCCAGTCCGACCCCGCTGTCGTCAGCATGCTGCAGGCACTCTGGAGACGATTCAATGCCGAGGATGCAGAGTTCAGAAGTTCCAGTCCTTCAGATGCTAGAGGGATGGTCAACGAGTCGCGTGGCCCTGCCGAAGTTCAACTGAGGAATGATTGTCCTCCGGGGGTAGACATGACCGTCTTGGAGGGCGTCGACTTGTGTAATAGCGTCCATTCGAACACTGGCGAAGAGGAGAACGGTGACAACGTCAGCAATTGTAGGAGCAGCAGCAGCAGAAGCAGTGTCAGTGGGCACGATGACAATTCAGCAACAGGGGAAGGTTAGTTTTTAGCTTGCATGTATTCCTACCACACCAATCTCATGCATAAAAAACCCGCTTTGACAGTCTGACCGGCGGAGAACCTCAGGAAAGGCTGACTAACCATTTAAGATTTGGTCTCGATGGGAACATATTACTCGAATAAGCTTAAATGCCGGTTAATATGCAAAATAATTCCAAGGTTCTTCGAATTTTCGTTTGCAATTAACTAAGTTGATTTCAGTATTTGAAGTGTCAGGGTGTCGCAGAGTAAAGAGATTGTTGGAAGTAGAAAACGTGACGAAAGGTCGGAATCGATGAAAAATATTTCAAATTGCCCATCCTAGGCTACCTCATGCATCTTGAAGTTAATTCAGTGTAAACGTATAAAAGCTAAGTCGCCTGAACACAGCTGCAGGACAAATAGTTAGACTACATTATGTCGTTGAAATAGTGCCAGTATAGATCTCTCCGAAGTCAGCAAGAGAAATGGGAAGTAGGATATACACTTGGTTACTTATATGGAATGCCCGCGCGTCTCTAAGTATTTCTTCGCCCTATGAATATGCTATACCAAAGGACTTAGCTTCGTCACTGAACATGTGGAGAAAAGTTGTTAAAATAGGCACTTGAGGTATCTTAACAGTTTTTTTAGAGAGTTACTGGCTCCAGACCACTTTTTCACATTTTATCTTTCTGTAGTATATATTCAGACTCGAAAAATTGAGAGCTTTTAAACGGTATCTCGTCAAATTTCGGCATTAACGGGGTATCAACCACAGGCTGGGGCGTGGGCAGCATCCATATTTATTTCGTATAAGCACACCTTCTGCGGGCTTCACTGTCTATCATTATTACTTTTGATCAGAAACGTATTATGTAAAAATGGGTTCTTTATATAAGTTTGCCTAAGCCACTTTTATTTTTGAAACACGACAATGCTTCGGACTTTCGTTTAAACTTTCTGTAGGCGCTGACTGAATGTAGTAGTGCGTTCACTTATGCATTAGCTGATCGACCCTTTTGCGCTTAGTAAATTGACGCTGGCTTTCAGTATAACAATAGTCTACTCCTTTAGGCCTCTTAAAGCATCTTGTTTGAACCAGAATTTTCACTACAAGGGAACACAGTCAGTTTTTGCCGTCTGCTATGCGATAGTCACGGGAAGTTTCTAGTCATTTTCTACTTCTAAATTTTCAAAACTTTTTTAGGAAAACAAAAACCAGAATTGTTACAGCACTATGGACTTTGAATAACAAACATCTTCCGACTGGAAAATGCCAAAGTATGATCCCTTCTTGATACTCGGTCAGGTTAGACGCAGGGATATTGGTCCCTATAGTACATCTGGGCTTGCGGTGAACTCCAAGGAGGTTCGGGTTAGAGGGATCATGATGCAAGTTATGAGGAACAGTGTTAAGAATAGAATTAAAGTTAAGATCCGGGAATAGGTACTCCCTTGGAATCTATCGCAAGACCACCCGTAGTACAGGGGGCGTCTTGCTTCCGGTGTCCAACAGACAACAGTCAATACGTCGTAGAGTTAGATGACCTCAACCATCTCTTTCGAATGGCTACTCCACAAAACCCCGGCCTATCGAATTACAAAATCACAAAACGGTTTATAGCCAGTCTTTTAACTGTATGATTTCACCTGTAGGGAGTGGTAAACGTCCAGAATACCGAGATTTTTCTTTCAATAAAATAACCGAAAACAACTTGGCCCAGAGGCATGCAACATTTATTTCCCTACCAGTTCCTTAACGAACACATTTTGGAGAAGGGGCAAACAAGAGTACCTGCTGCTATTCGTTCGTACTCTCGACTTCTGGCAGGAAATGAATGGCGCCGCATAATTCCTCGTTTTCATCGATTCAAAAGCCTATCGACTATGGTGTAAGAAGCATTCAAGCATTCCGCCTAATAGTAAGTGCCGAAAAAGACTAGTCAGTTGGCACGAGTGTCAAAAAGTCATACTGGCGGATGACGGTCACTTTTATGTGTCAACGCAGGGACAAAAGGGACCATTATGAGTTCCCAGATATGATGGTCTTCTACAAACTGCATGATCAAATGTTCAGCATGTCTCGATTGCTATTTACTCCCATCTATGTCATGCACATGATTAGAGCAATCGCTCTTTGGGGTTGGACATGAGAACAAGTACCTCTCCCCCGCCCCTACTATCCTCAGCACTGACCTTAGCAGTAACACTAACCTCAAAATGAACGTCCTAGAATTTACTCAAGGCCTCTGTACTACCGGGGCACTTATTCATATGCCCTGCCCTCTTCGGATTTGTGAACTTCCAACACACAGCAGAGATCGAATTTTCAATAAGTCACCTATGTTTTTTCATGTGAGATAAAAGAGATAGTCGGGAGCCCGGTGATTTATTGCTATGAGGATAAGAAGGAGAATGTGAGAATGTTACACACAGGCCATCACTGACGACTAAACAGCCGGAACGGTTTGTTTCAAAAGTAAAATGAGAACAGGAAATTAAAAACATTAATATTGTGTTGTTTTGAGCACTGTTCAACTGCGCAGATTTAAGTGAAATAAGTAGAAGCAAAAAATAAGTTCAGTAATATTCCCAACCCAGCCCTCGTCAACCAATTTACACCTGCTAACGTTGACTGATCTTTCGTCTTTTATCACATGTTAATTTGCTTGTTAACTTTTAAAAATGTTCCAGACATTCCAGGTAAAGTGCAATTTCAGGGTCGCTGAAAGATGATTTGGTGACTGTAGCGGTAGGTGTTCGGAAATGAACTACATGTGTGTCTGCATACTAATATTCAACTTGTAATTTCGGAAGGTCCGCTACTACTAAACCATTATGAATCCCCTAAAGTCATTTATTCCACGATAGTAATTCTAGTTGGTTACACAGAGCACACTAGGGAACAAGATTTTATTCAAACGGTCTGAGTTCCTTGGTTTTGCACTGAAGGGCTTGGTAAAAGTACACAGCATAAGTTTTCTCGATGATTAGAAGGCTGCGTACTTTTTGAAATTTTTTAAAGTGAAGTAAGAAAATGCAATCCACAAATATACAGCATTGTAATCTGGTGGATTCTTGATTAATTACTTAGAAAGTCTCGCTTGTGTAGTCAGCTTACTGTATCAGATTGGGTGGATTCCAGACGTTGCAGTAGGCTGCGCGGATAACTTGACCCAAATGCGATTAAACTCGCATCGTCCGACGGGACCTCGTAGCTCAGGTGGCTAGAGCCCCCCCCCCCTCTGCTGTTGTCGGTTCGAATCCTACCGAGGCGTCGAGTTTTTCACAGTTGGGTCAAAATTAATTATTCAAAATCTGCCAAAAGACCTCTTATTCTAGTGCTGAGTGAGTTTTCCAAATATGAACTAATTCTCCACCTATTCGTCTGAACATCCTCATTTTCTGTCGGTTGGTCCTTGGCGGTTGATATGATTGAATTTAGTTGCTTTACTTTTTCAGTTAGTTCCTTCGGCAGTTTTCTGTGTCTGCTCTGACAGTTTTGGCCAAATGCCAACAGTCATCCTCCCCCATATTCACCTTCCAGGTGCTGAAGCACAGACAAATCGCGACGAGTTTCGACTAAGGAAGAAAAAGACGCGCACCGTCTTCTCCCGGAACCAAGTCTTCCAGCTGGAGTCCATGTTCGAGGTTAAAAGATACCTCTCGAGTTCCGAACGCGTCTCCTTGGCACAGGCTCTGCGGCTGACAGAGACTCAGGTGAAAATCTGGTTCCAGAACCGACGCAACAAGTGGAAGCGCCAGGTAGCCACCGAAGTGGAAGAATCAGGAGGAGCTGTGGGCGCGGCCCCGAGTGCCTTTCTTCGCATGGACGACACTCTGCCGTACCCCTATAAACATTTAGAAGCGCTTGAGGCTCTGCATCCACGCCGCCCAGATGTAAATGAGCCGAGAGAAAAACCTGGGGACATGTTCCGTCTTCCGAAACTAGAGCAACCCCACTTGCCAGCTTTTCTGTATACAGCTCATGCGAGCAGACTGCCGGCCCTCACAGCACCCTGGTTTCTATCCCCACTGGGCCTTCAACTTTCTCGCTTTGATATTCCCCCCAGGGGAGGGCCTGGCTTCCCGGCGATGTACCCACCAAATACGCTATCTGAATCGTCCGACGTTAGAGGCTTGGGAAGGAGTGTACAAACGGAGACTGCAGTCTCAGTTCCCAGCTCATCAAAAGGTTTCTACCAGTATCTCGAAACAGCCAGTCCCCTATCGTTGCTGCAAATTCAGGTCCGGACAGACAAGCCTCAATTGCGAAAATAATATCAGTGCTAGATTCATCTTCTGTCTCCTCTGACCCCAGCCCGTGTAAACTTCTGTCGCCCCTATTTCTGTGGCACAAAGACTGGCCCCTTTACAACCCACACCAGCGGACAACATCTCTTGTATGACTTCGAACTGACAAGCTCCAGCAATATGCGCCATTTATTCCTGCCTCGCATTCAAAGTATGTCAGGGCTAACAAGCGTATCCTACGTCGAATTCGAACTCAACGATCAATTTGATATCTGCTATGATGTGGCGTTCTAAATTTGGCGTTCTTAGAAATAGATAGTTCATAGCAAAAAAAGAAGCAAGTGGTTCATATAAGCAATTGAAAAGGCCGGTTAGCTAAAGAACCTGTTCATGTTGATGCTGAGGGAATGGTACAATTAAACTTTCCTGCTTCTCTGGTTCGTTTTTCCCATCTCTTCGCTTTTTTTCTCTCTTTTGAAAGCCGATGGAGTGAAATGCGTTCTAGAGGCTCTTTAGCGGACGCCTGTTTCTGGCGGGTCTGCCGTTACTCTACCCTGCCTGCAGGCATTTTCCACTTCGTCCCGATTACTTCACCTTCTCCGGAAGGTTATTATAATTTTCTTCCTAAGCTCGGTTGTACCAAAAATACGCGAAGGTTTGAAACGGACGTCGTCTTTTAAAATTTCCTACTAGCAACTACCGCTATTGCGGAGTTAGGGAACACGCGCGTGAAACACGAGAGTCGGAGTGGCATCTGTGGACGGCCACCGGGCCTGATCTCACCTCCACTTGGCTTAATTCACTC